AAAAGAAAAAAAAACGGACGGATAGAACCCTAGGACAAATGGTGGAAGCAAAGCTATACAGACAAAATCTCACACAGAAGCATACACATACTCACAAAAAGAGGAAAAGGGGAAAAATCATAAATCTTGCTCTCAAAGTCCACCCCCTCAATTTGGGATGATTCGGTGTCTATTCAGGTATTCCACAGTTGCAGGGTACATCAAGTTGATTGTGGAGCTTTAATCCGCTGCTTCTGAGGCTGCTGGGAGAGATTTCCCTTTCTCTTCTTTGTTCTCACAGCTCCCGGGGCTCAGCTTTGGATTTGGCCCCGCCTCTGCGTGTAGGTCGCTGGAGGGCGTCTGTTCTTCGCTCAGACAGGACGGTGTTGAAGGAGCAGCTGCTCCGGGGGCTCTGGCTCACTCAGGCCGGGGGGAGGGAGGGGTACGGAATGCGGGGCGAGCCTGCGGCGGCAGAGGCCGCGGGACGTTGCACCAGCCTGAGGCGCACCGTGCGTTCTCCCGGGGAAGTTGTCCCTGGGTCCCGGGACCCTTGCAGTGGCGGGCTGCACAGGCTCCCCGGAAGGGGGGTGTGGATAGTGACCTGTGCTCGCACACAGGCTTCTTGGTGGCGGCAGCAGCAGCCTTAGCGTCTCACGCCCGTCTCTGGGGTCCGCGCTTTTAGCCGCGGCTCGCGCTCGTCCCTGGAGCTCCTTTAAGCAGCGCTCTTAATCCCCTCTCCTCGCGCACCAGGAAACAAAGAGGGAAGAAAAAGTCTCTTGCCTCTCCGGCAGGTCCAGACTTTTCCCCGGACTCCCTCCCGGCTAGCCGTGGCGCACTAGCCCCCTGCAGGCTGTGTTCACGCCGCCAACCCCAGTCCTCTCCCTGCGCTCCGACAGAAGCCCGAGCCTCAGCTCCCAGCCCCCGCCCGCCCCGGCGGGTGAGCAGACAAGCCTCTCTGGCTGGTGAGTGCCGGTGGGCACCGATCCTCTGTGCGGGAATCTCTCCGCTTTGCCCCCCGCACCCCTGTTCCTGCGCTCTCCTCCGTGGCTCCGAAGCTTTCCGCCTCCGCCACCCGCAGTCTCCGCCCGCCAAGGGGCTTCCTAGTGTGTGGATACCTTTCCTCCTTCACGGCTCCCTCCCACTCGTGCAGGTCCCGTCCGTATTCTTTTGTCTCTGTTTATTCTTTTTTCTTTTGCCCTACCCAGGTACGTGGGGAGTTTCTTGCCTTTTGGGAGGTCTGAGGTCTTCTGCCAGCGTTCAGTATGTGTTCTGCAGGAGTTGTTCCACGTATAGATGTATTTCTGGTGTATCTGTGGGGAGTAAGGTGATCTCCGCGTCTCACTCTTCCGCCATCTTCCCCTCGTCTCCTGAGATTTTGTATGGATAAAGTTAGTAATAATTTAAACCGAAGGAATTCAAGAAAATTCTTACTAACATATTTGGAGCAATAGAGTGGTTCTGTGTTTGTTTTAGGGCAAGGGCAAAAGATTTATTAAGTCAGAGACCTAGCCCAGGGTTTTCCCACTCACCAAGGGACAGACTCTCGAGGAGCACCTGCAGACAGTGGCATGAATAAGCCTCCAAGTTCCAACATGCATTTTGTGTCATGCCCAGTCCATCCTCTGAAGTCCACCGCACAGACCCTCAGTGACCAGTATTTGTAGTAGTTTTTAAAAATATTTATTAAAATATTTTAAATTTTAAATTAAAAAAAATTTATTTTATATTGGAGTATAGTTGATTAACAATGTGATAACTTCAGGTGTACAACAAAGTGATTCAGTAATGCATATACATGTATCTATTCTTTTTCAAATTCTTTTCCCATTCAGGTTGTTACATAATGTTGAGCAGAGTTCCCTGTGCTATACAGTAGGTCCTTGTTGGTTATCCATTTAAAATATAGCCACCATTCATAGTATTGATCAGAGCTTCTCCTTTCCCTTCCTCAGGATTTCCTTCGGCACTGCAAGTCTGGTTAATTCTCCACTTTCACTTTCCTTCCTTGAAATTTCCCATCAGTGTAAACACCAAGGTCCAGGAACTAAAAAACCGTTTTCAACAGGCTTTTGTTAAGTATCTATGAGGTGTTAGAGAATGTTGGTGTGTATAAATGAAAAGTGCATGTTATTTGATCTCAGATATTTGAGTCGGGTGGAGGGAGACAGAAGGGTACAAAATCTTTGTGTAAAGGGCTACAAAGAAACTATAATAATAGTAGAAGTTGCATTCTCAATGAACTAACTACTTCATTTATCTTACTTTCCTTCTGAATTCATAATCTTTCCCCAGACAAATAGGTATGCTACAGTATGTTTCATTTCTGTCTTGCTCTTTTCTTTAATGACAAGCTTGAAACGAACCTTTTAGCTACATAGTCAGCCCTCCCTATTTACACTTCCTCACTTAAGAAATCTTCAACTCCTTTCATTCTGGTTTCTATTGCCACCAGTCCAATGAATTAGTCATGTTCAGATCACTAATGATACCCTTTTAAAAAAGCTTAACGGTGGGGCTTCCTGGGGCTTCCCTGGTGGCGCAGTGGTTGAGAGTCCGCTTGCCGATTCAGGGGACACGGGTTCGTGCCCCGGTCCGGGAAGATCCCACATGCCGCGGAGCGGCTGGGCCCGTAAGCCATGGCCGCTGAGCCTGCGCGTCCAGAGTCTGTGCTCCGCAATGGGAGAGGCCACAGCAGTGAGAGGCCCACGTACCGCAAAACAAAACAAAAAAAAGTTTAACGGCCATTCATATTCTCATGTTATTAAACTTCTGCTTAGCTGACAAGTTGGTCCCGTGCTCGTTAAAATTTTCATTGAGAAAGCAACTTCTACATTATGCTATTGTTTTGCTTTTCTTACACTGGTACCATACTGAATTAATTTGTTGAACATTTTTAATATTGTAAGGTACCTATTGTTATTCTTGAAGTCAATTAGATAAAATTACCTCTTGTATCTGCCCAAGAAAATAGTCAAGAAAAGACTTCTCAGCTCAAGATTCATTGGATGGCATCACCCAGCAACGACTCCACAGCTCCAGTCTCTGAATTTCTCCTCATCTGCTTCCCCAGCTACCAGAGTTGGCAGCACTGGCTGTCCCTGTCCCTCAGCCTCCTCTTCATTCTGGCCATGGGGGCCAGCGCCACCCTCCTGATCACCATCCAGCTGGAGGCCTCTCTGCACGAGCCCATGTACTACCTGCTCAGCCTGCCCTCCCTCCTGGGCATGGTGCTCTGCCTCACTGCCATCCCCAAGGTCCTGGCCATCTTCTGGTTTGACCTCAGGTCCATCAGCTTCTCCGCCTGTTTCCTCCAGATGTTCATCATGAATAATTTCCTCGCCATGGAGTCCTGCACACTCATAGTCATGGCCTATGACCGCTATGTGGCCATCTGCCATCCACTGAGATACCCATCCATCATCACTAACCACTTTGTGGCCGAGGCTAGTGTCTTCGTTGTCATACGAAATGCCCTTCTCACTGTACCCATTCCCATTCTCTCTGCCTAGCTCCTCTACTGTGGGAAAAATGTCATTGTGAACTGCATCTGCGCCAACCTGTGTCCAGCTCTCCTGTGACAATTTCACCCTGAACAGAATCTACCAATCTGTAGCTGGTTGGACCTTACTAGCTCAGATTTCATCCTCATCTTCATCTCCTACATCTTCATCCTAAGAGCTGTGCTCAAGTTCAAGGCTGAGGGGGCTGCAGTCAAGGCTCTGAGCATGTGTGGCTCCCACTCCCTCCTCATCCTCTTCTTCAGCACCATCCTGCTGGTTGTGATGTTGACAGATGTGGCCAGAAAGAGCATCCCCGTGGACGCCCTGATTCTGCTCAATGTTCTTCACCACTTCATATCCCTTGCCTTGAACCCTATTGTATATGGGGTTCAAACCAAAGAGATTAAAAAAGGAATTCAGAAATTGCTGCAGAGAGGGATGTGAATATGTAGAATAGATTTCTAATTCTCTCTCCCCTTCCTTCTCAGTGATTTTGCCCAGACGTGAGCTAGAGAAAAGCCTGACCCAGGTTTCTTCCTTTATTCTTACCTATTTCAGGATGGGGTAGGCAAGAGGAAGAAACTCATTTTTCTTGAGTAATTGTTTTGAGCCTGGGCAATTATAGTGAAGTAAATTAATCTTCACAACATTCTTGTAGGTACTATTACTTCTATTTTACATAGCAGAAAAAATATAATTTTAAGAGAACAAACTGCTGGAGATCATATATCTGGGAAGTGATAGAGCAGAGATTAAAATCTAGGCTCTACAGCCTGGTGTCTTTCTAGAGAAATGCCCCTTCTTGTGCAATTGAAGCTGGAGACCAGGCCTCTACCCTACTCTCCTTTGCCTGTGTTTTGTCCTTCTGGATGTCCATAGGTGTTTCCTGCTTGTACCTACTATTTTGAGAGCCAGGGGGTTCTCAGAGAAGGCAGAGTCCTGTCTGACAAAGCATCTGCAGGACCAAAGGGAAAGAGCACTCATAATAATATAAAGCAATGCCAGCCTCCTACTATGTCCTACGCAGCCTCACAACCTTCAGGGAGTCTAGAGAATGAGGATACAGGTTGAGAGAGGGGTATGGAGGGGGGGATACCAATGGGGTAAAAATTGGGAAGTCAGGTCAGTGTGTTGACCACTTCTCCACGTGTTTAAGCTGCACATGCAGTGAACTGAAAGTCAAGTCTTACTTGTTGACTCTTCCCAAGAGCTCTAGTTGAAGGTGGGAAGACACAGCACAGTGTCAGGTTTCTGGGTAACAGCGGGTCCAGTCAGGAGAAAATAAATCCCACTGGCTATTTTAATTTTTTAAAATTTATTTATTTTTTATTTATTTATTTTTTTTGTGGTACGCAGGCCTCTCACTGTTGTGGCCTCTCCCTTTTGCAGAGCACAGGCTCCGGACGCGCAGGCTCAGCGGCCATGGCTCACGGGCCCAGCCACTCCGCGGCATGTGGGATCTTCCCAGACTGGGGGACGAACCCGTGTCCTCTGCATCGGCAGGCGGACTCTCAACCACTGTGCCACCAGGGAAGCCCCACCACTGGCTATTTTTAGAGAATTTAAGGTAAGCACTTGATTAAATAAGTATTGCAGACTTGAAAACCAAAAAAAAAAAAAATGGAGGGGGATGCTGAGGTAACACAGAGAAGGAAGAACCTTCCTGCAGGAAGAACCTTATACTTGGAATTCCTTGGTGGTACAGTGGTTAGGACTCCACACTTCCACTGCAGGGGTCACAGGTTTGATCCCTGGTCGGGGAACTAAGATCCCATATGCTGCGTGGTGTGGCCAAAAACAAAAAAACACTGGTCATTAAAAAAGAAAAAGAACCTTATACTTGGGAAGCATTGGGTCATTAGGAGACAACAGGCTGGTGGTGGGCTCGTTGAACTACTCTCACAACTCTGAGGACGGGTGCTGCCTCTGAATGCTACTAGTGTCACAGGACCTCCAAGGATGTGCCCTTACAGCCTGGACTGAGACCTCTGGGGCAGGACTCTATCCTGCTGGTGGTATCTCTTAGGGAGTTCAGTGAGGCTGATTTGATCCTGGAAGTTCTAAAGCCCAAACAAAACCCAAACCCAAACCCAAACAAAATCCAAAACCCAACCAACCAACCAACCAATCCTGGAGGCTAAAACCAATTCCACTGCCAGGAGGAAGAGTCATTGCTGAGGGAAACTGACGAGAGGAAGAGACAGGAGGGACAAAATATCCCCTCCTCTGCTTCAACCTTTCAGTCTTTCTCTGTTGCTCTCTGTAGGTGGAAACTAAGAGGGAGCCGGCTGACCAAGGGTCCTATAGTCTAAGTCCCGGCATCACAAGATGTTTGGATGGGAGGGTCTAGGGCTGAGAGACAAGAGTTAATTATTGGCACAGCTCCAATTGCTTGAGTCTGAAAACTTAGTACCACATGAAGGACAGCTATAGAAGAACTCTGCAGTACAGCATGCCTCCCAGTGAGACAGAGACAGAATCAAGTCCTCTGGTGCAGACAAAAAAAGAGATGTGACATAATGCTATAGGGGCAGCTTTCATAGTTAGGAAAGAATTTGGCATTAAGCCGGCAACAGGAATGGAGATCAACTGCCCCACCCTGTGGGGATTAAAGTAACTGCAACTCAATGCTGATGTGGGTTCCAGGGGCAGATTCTTCTAAAGCCACACTCAATAACAGTGGGAAAGAAAAATGACATCCATTTCCCTACAAGAAGGGGCTCTTACTGCCCTCAGACATGCTTCTTATTTACTCAAGGCAGAGCCACAGGTATGATTCAGTATTTATCATTTTTTTAAAAAGAAATTCTTTAATAGGAATTCTCTCCATCTCATGGTTGCCGGAAGAATTTTATGCACCACCATCTCCTACTGTCCCTCAGAGGACAGAAGGGCCAACTTCAATACCACTTGCCTAATGATACTAATAATCTCAATGTCCTTATATATTGATAATAATTATAGTAATAATCATGAAATTAAAAGCTCAAATATTTTGAACACTTGCAATATACCAGTGTTTGTGCATGATAACATTTAATTTTCATAAGAGCCTTCTGTGGATGATTATAAAAATGAGTTTTAAAAAAAGATCTAACAGAAAGAATATAATTCATAGGAATATGGTACATATTGTCAAGGAATATTTTCAAACATCTGGTCTACTCTGTTGGTCTGTAGGAGTGCTTTCTCTACCTTTGTTATGCTTTCCCAGCTGCAAACCCAGAAAGAACTCAAATAAGAGTCTGTTAGTTGGACAAAATTCAGGTCTTAATTCCTCAGCTAGGCTTCTCTAGATCAATGCAAACAGCTGACATAATTATGAGAAGCTTGACTCAAACTGGGAGCACATGGGGATAGATACTACCAACTTGTTGTAGGGATTTGTAAGGATGTAGGGACCAACACACCAGTTGTCATTCCTCACAGTAACTAGCACAATTTTTGCACATCCAGGGGCTCAGTGAACATCCCCTTATTTACGAGACTGAAGTGATAAGTCAAGAGTTGACAGTGTCTACAGTGCATCTCTAGTTTCATAGAAGCAGGGCACAAACAGATATGCCATGTACATAAGGGTGGCTCTCTGCTCTGGTTCTAAGGAGGGAAGTTAAGAGGACCACAGGTTCTCACAGAATTGTCAAGCCCAGTGCAGGTGGTTCAAGGAATGGGACACAGTGGTCCTAAGGTAGGCTTTGGGGTGAATCTACATGTAGAAAAAGGGGATGGAGGAACAGGATAGTCAAAGAGCCCAGTCTTGAATGGCAGACACAACTCTGCTGTGAAGTTCCCATAGCATTAAAAAACATGCTTAGTAGAGATCTCTGAACACTGTCTTGAGTGGATAGAATGAATTAGCATAAACTGAAGGCATTTTAAGTTGGTTGGGTATAAATGTACAAACTTCCAGTTATAAATAAGTATCAAAGATGCAATGTCCAGCATGATGACTCTAGTTAAGGTATATTTGAAAGTTGCTAAGAGAGTAGATCCTAAAAGTTCTCATCACAGGAAAAAAGCATTTTTCTTTTTCTTCTTTTTGGTACCTATATGAGACATTGGATATTAACGAAACTCTTGTGGTAGTCATTTCACAACATATGTATAACTTAAACTTATAAGTGCTGTAGGTCAATTATATCTCAATAAAACTGAAAGAAAAAATAAAATAAATAAAATGGTGGGATACAGATATTTTCTCAGTTTAACTGAGATCTATGAAGAATCACGGTGCTACAATAGGCTGACTATGATCCAACTGTCCTGGAAGGGGTGCACTAAGAACACGAGAAGGGGGGAGAAGTGACCTACTAAGGCCACTTACTTTACTCCCCGGGTTTGCAGGTTAGTCACATTTGCATGAGGAACACAGAGCCTTTTGAGAAAGAAGATCTGAAACCACTGAACACTGCTATTCAGGATCAGAGCAGATTTAAATCAAGATGCAGTGGCAAGAAAGAGCAACAAGTTCCCTGGAATTAAATTATCTGGAGGAAAAAGGGAGTCTATGCCGGTGACCAATGCCCATAACAAAGACCGAAGTATTGCTGAGGGAACAAAACTACGTTTTCCACAGTGGAGTTTGGGGACCTCTTAGTACCTAGTCATCTGATACTCTACTGTGCTTTGGGATATATTCTAAGCATACGGGTGTGAAGGATGAGAGCTGTGACCTCAGAGGCAGACTGTGGAACCTCAAGGCTGTGCAGCCAGGGAGTCTAAACAGGATGGCGTTACTGCAAGGCGTAGAGAAACGCTTTGTTGCTGACATGTCAGTATTGCTGCCCTGTGGCTATAAGTAGGAATAGCAATACTTTAGTTCTCAACCTCTGCTTGTTTCTGAAAGGGGACTGACAACTCTGAAAAACTGGCGTTCCAACACTCAGGGGGAGTGGTAGTGAGTAGCTTCAAGAAGAAAATACTGTACTTCCTGCTCCTAAGCACGTGGGGAGCTGAATGATTAATTTAAAAAGTAAAAGGGATATAATTTATTCTCTGGTTTCCTTTTTTCTTCTGGTTTCCTTTTTTTCAGTGACATTTAAAAACAATGTCAAATCAATAGCATGAATCAGGTATTCACAAGGGTATATTGTATTATTATATTTAATAAGATGTTATATTAGCAGTATTTTGCTAAGGACTGTATGTAATAACAACACTTATTTATTTCTTCATCTGCGCATCCAAAATTTAGTTACTGAGTGCTTTATGTGTGATGAGCACAGTAGTGATTAGCATAGATGTTACCAAGAGGTAAACTACTTTCAGAGAGATTATGGTCAAAATAGCCCATGAATTATCATTATTCCCAGTTTTGCAGGCTAGGCAACTGAGTAAAAAGATAAAATTCTAATGGTCATTCAACTAACAGGGACAAGGATGAAGAGAGATAAATTAGGCATATTTGCTACTAAATCTACTTTTCCTGTTGTATTGTCTAGGGATTGAGCTACACTTTTTGACTTCAATTAGATAGATTTGTAGTTTTCTGAAGTTTTTCATGTTCCAGATTATAGATATAGATAGTGCACATCAAAACCCGTCATGTATCGAATTAGTAAATACACGTAAAGTTAGTTACTACAATAAAGGTATCACAGGAACTTAGCACAGTACAAGTTTACTTCTCATCCACATCCTGATTTCAGTGCATGCGGGCTTTGCTTCATGTCAACATTTAGGGACCCATGCTTCTATCATATGTGGGTATTCCACATTACCCTTTGAGACCTCCACAGGTCCTTTTGAATCTGGCTGTCACACAGCGAAGGGAGAGAAAGTGCAGGATCTTGTGGGATGTTTCAGGGGCCAATCTGGGAGAGATTTACATCATTTTCTCTATCATTCCATTGACAAGAATCCTCACATAAATCTAGCTGCCTAGAGGAGAGGCCAGGTGACTAAATATTTATTTCTTAAGAGAAATGACAAAAGAGAGACTCTCACATGTAAAACGTTCATAACCTCTTCCCAAGTGAGACTACCCAAACTCTCATCTAGTCGCTGTATGCAGCACAGAGTCCAAGATCTACAGGAGTGTGTGGTCATCTCCATCCTGATGTGGTTCCTCTTGGACCAATCATCCTCTTTCTCCCATTACATATTTTGCATACCACAAAAGAAAAAAAATTAATGTTTTTAATTAATTAATTAAATTAAAAAGTCAGTGAAATAATTACTTTTATCAGTGTTTTAGACAATGAAACTGAAATATGGGGAGTTTAACTGCTCAATTCATACAGCTGGCAATAGCCCAGCCAGGATACTAAACCTGGCTTCCACACTTAAAATCCAAGCCTCTTTACACTGAAAGTGAGTGTCTGGAGGCTCTTTCCCAAGAGTATATGGCATATTGATCAATCTGTCACTCAGTGGAGAGTAGGAAGAATGAGGCATAGTGATCATTATAACATGTTTATTATTTGGTGAACTAAGCAATCCATTTGGCTAGGAAAAAAAGACTTTGCTGCAAAAGGAAAGTGAAGTGATGATACTAAGCAAGGTAGTATTTTCCCACAACAGGAAAAAAACATCTCAGAAATATCTTCTTGCTGATACTAGTTGGCTGGATAAATGTAGTACAGAACTTCTCAGACTCCTTTTAAGTCAGTAGTGTATCTGGGAAGTCAAGGAGACTGCTCTCACCTCAGCCGTGAGGAAGCAAGACACATGGACCCATAAATACCCTCCTTTGGCTCAATCTACAGACAAATCAATATTTACTTTTTCAGAAGTATGTGTCTAAGAAAAGGCTCAGCCTATTTCTCAAGCAGGACACAGTTCTTAATTCTATTATAAACATCCAAGTAAATGTAATAGATTCAGTGACTTTGTTGAGGAAATTCACCAAGGTCTGTTTGTCCCTAGAATATTGACTCCTCTAGTCTCCCTTCCCAATTATGTCCCAACAACAGTGCCTCCTGGTAGACAACAAACTGCATAAACTCAAAGGCTGAGTAGAAAATCATTGCTTGTTTGAATCATATACGGGACTCCTGATGTCACCATGGCAGAATGGCAAGGCAGGTCTCAGGAATACATTTAGATGGTCCTGGGCAGGGGACTGGGTCTGGGGAAGGATTCAAATCCCTGCATTCCATCCATTGAACTTCTATCCCTGAGATGCAGCTTACCGACGTTCCACCCAGTGCCTTCTCTTCCTTCCTACCACAGGTGATGGGGAATCACTGGAAAACATGGAAGTGATCTAAAAGTGTCCCTTTGCCTTTCTCTTTTATGAGTCTAAAATAAAAGATGGTGAATTGTTTAATAAAACATCTGTAAGAGGCAAACAAGATGTAGATCAGTCTCTAGGGCAGACAGTGTCTCAGAGAGACCAGGAGAACCACAGAAACCTCCAGAGGTTCTCCTACCACTTCTCACTATTCTCACTCCACAAGTTGGATTGTAGCTTGGCAATCAATGTGTATATATGATAGAGTCAAGGCTAATTTTTCCGAACAGAATTCTTTTTCCTCGTAAACACAAATAAATTTACATTTTCAGACACACCTACAATTGTGTGAGGCTGTAAGACTAAGCCTGTCCAAGGGAAGGGCATGCAGCTCTTCCAGGAATGGCTTTTACCACCTCCTTGATGCCCTCTGCACTCTATCCGCCTCCTCTGGTTAGTTGCAGATAATCCACTGGAAGACACGAACCCATGGAAAATGGTGGAACCACACAGTGGAGGAGGCTAGGACACTGAGTGATTGCAAGGAAGAGAGCTTTCCCCTTCCACATTGCATTAGACTGGATGTTATTAAAAAATATAAAATTGTTTTGTGTTAAAACACTGACAAATTGGAATTGGTTTTTTGATAGCTGGAAGGTTATTCTAACCAAGGCTGCAGACAATGAGAAAATTGACATCCAGTGCTAGAAAGATCACCTAACAAGTTGACCTGTCTACTAAATGGCAATTCTAGGGAAAAGGTTGAAAGAATTCAAAATAATAATGTGTGTTTGAGATTGCTGATTTCACTTGACAAGTTATTATGAGAAATAAATGAGGTTAGCAGAAAGTTAGCTGGTTTTCAAGCAGAAATGAATCATAATACATAAAGGCCATAAATATAAAGCCTTGAAGAATTTTCCTAGTACTTTGGAAGTCAAAGGTTAAGAGAAAGATTTAGAATGCCTTTAAGTAACAAAGACTCATAGAAAGCAGCCCTGAGAAGAGACTACATTATGTGGATAGCTGTCCTACTAAAGTCTGATAGCCTTAGGTAGACACAGTTATGTAGAAAAGCAGTGGCATGGGGAAAGCAAAAAGACATTAAAAAAAGGAAAAAAAATAAATTTTACCTAAGAAAATCCTTGTTAAGTTTCAAGAGGGTTCGTTGCCAAAGAAACATGAGCTAGGCTTTTAAAAATCCTTTTGATTAAAAATTAAAACAATTTTTAATATTTTACAGACATGAAGCAGTCTCCATATGTAGTATCTGCAAAAGAAGTCACATTCTCCAATGTCTGCTTCATATAAGGCAATGGGGGACATTGAAGAAGGTACAATCCCACATATGCAGAAAAAGGGACATAGAAAACAATGGCCAGGAGAGATTCTCCCAGAGTCATATCCAGGACCTAGTCAGGGAACTTATTCTACTGTCGGGAGATGAAAGTATTGCAAGGCCTGCCCCCAAAGTATTCCAGAATTACCACTGACAAGTTCTTGTTAAATGTATTCCATGTTTCACTTCAACTGGGAATCTTTTTGACTGGTATTCAGTTTCTGCTCCACCATTAAACGTGTGGTAGTAGGAGGAAGATGACTGGTCCAAGAGAAACCACATCAGGACCTGATGGAAATGACCACACACTCCTGGAGATCTTGGACTCTATGCTGCATATAGTGGCTAGATGAGAGTTCGCTTAGCCTCATTTGGGAAGAGGTTACGTATGTTTTACATGTGAGGGTCTCTCATATAATTTCTCTGAAGAAATAAATATTTAGTCACCTGGTGTCTCCAGCTAGATTTATGTGAAGTTTCTGGCCAATGGAATGACAGAGAAAATGATGTAACTCTCTCCCAGATTGAGTCCCTACAACCTCCTACAAAATCTTGCACATTCTCTCCCTTCACTTGCCTGACAGATTCAGAAGAACAAGTGGCAGTCTGTAAGGGACAAGAACATGAAGGAGCCAACTAATGAAAGAAACATGGGTCTCTAAATGCTGATGTGAAACAAAGCCCACCTTCATTGGAATGGTATGTGGATGAGAAGTAAACTTTTATTACATTGTTACTGTGATATCTTTGTGGTAGAAACTAACTTTACTTGCACTGACTAATTCAATATATGTTGGGATGCGTAGGGCTCTGCCTTTGTTATTTACAATCTGGAGCCTGAAAAACTTTAGAAAACTACAAAACTATCCAGTTGAAGTCTAACTATGCAGCTCACTCCTCGAAAATGTAGTAGGAAAAATAGATTTATGTAGCAAATGTGCCTAATGTCTCACTCTTGACTCTGGTCACTATTAATTAAATGATCATTAGTAATTTATCTTTTTGCTCAATTGCCTAATCTGCAAGATTGGGAATAATGATAATTCATGGGCTATTTTGAACATAATCTCTTTGAAAGTAGTTTACTTCTTGGTAACTACCTATGCTAACCACTACTGTGCTAATCACACATAAAGCACTCGATAACTAATTTTTGGTTGAAAAATGAAGAAATGAATAAATGTTACTATTATATATAATTTGTCCTTAGTCAAACATTGCTAATGTAATATGTTATAAAATACTGAGATTAAAAAAAATACTGAGATATACTCTATCCTTATGAATACTTGACTCATGTCATGGATTTGATATTGACTCTTCAATGTCAATGGAGAAAAGAAAATCAGAGTATAAACTGTTATATATCTTTTATTTTTTAAATTAATCATTAAAATCCCCACGTGCCTTATGATCATGAAGTACACTATTTTCTTTTTTAAGCTATCCCCTGACCCTCCGCTAGCATTGGAGATCCCAGGAGTTTTCTGATTTCAAAGTTGTCAGTTTCCTTTCCGACACCAAGCAGAAGTTAACTGGAATCACTTCAGTATTGCTATTCTGGTTAATAGCCACGAGGAGGCACTGTTGAGTTGCCAACAATGAAGCATTTATTTACTCCTGGCAGTAATGCCCTGCTGTTTAGACTCCCTGACTGCCAGTCTTGATGTCCCACACTAGGCCTCTGAGGTCACAGCTCCCATCATTAACACCCATATGCTTAGAATATATCTGAAGCATATCAGATGACTATGTACCAAGAGACTCCCAAACTCTATGATATGTGGAATACACAGTTTTATTTCCTCAAGAATATTTAGGTCTTTGTTTTGAGCATAGGTCACCAGGATAGATTTCTTTTTCCTCTAGATATTTAATTCCCAGGTAACCTGTTGCTCTCTCTTGCTACTGGGTCTTGATTTAAATTTGCTCTGTTCCTGAATACTGTTCAATGGTTTCAGATCTTTTTTCTCAAAAGAATCTGTGTTGCTCATGCAAATTTCTCATGCAAATTCAACAAACCTGCAAACCAGGGAGTGAGGTGGTAGGTCCCACCCTCCCCTTCTCTTGTTCTTAATACACCTTCTTCCAGTACAGTTGGACCATAGACTATAATAGCAAAGTGACTCTTAACAGATTTTCTCAGTTAAATTGACAAAACATCTACAGTCTACTAATTTCAAATGCATTAATTAATATAAAATCTAGCCAACCAAGACTGGGCTAATAGGACGTTTTTGGGTTTTTTTTTGGCGGTACGCGGGCCTCTCACTGTTGTGGCCTCTCGCATTGCGGAGCACAGGCTCCGGATGCACACGCACAGCGGCCATGGCTCACGGGCCCAGCCGCTCCGCGGCACGTGGGATCTTCCCGGACCGGGGCACGAACCCGTGTCCCCTGCATTGGCAGGCAGACTCTCAACCACTGCGCCACCAGGGAAGCCCTAGGACGTTTTTAATACTGTTGGAACTTCATGGCAGAGTTGAATCTGCCTTTTAAGATCTGGGTCTTTGAGTAATCCTGCCCCCCACCCCCACCCTGTCTCCTTTATCTGTATGTAGACTCACCCCAAAGCCTGTCTTAGGCCTATTGTGTCCAGTTCCTTGAAGCACCTGCACTGGGCTTGACAATGCTGTGAGAACATGTGGTCCTCTTTAGCCTCTCTCCTTAGAACCAGGGCAGGGAGCCGCCCTTCAGTATGTAGCTTGTCTGCTCCTTAGAGTTAGGGCTTGACTTCTATGGAACTAGAGATCCACTGTAGACACTATCTGTCAACTCTACACTTAGGCACTTCAATACCATCAGTAAAGGAATGTTTACTGAGCCCCTTCATGTGCCAAAATTGTGCTAGTTATTGTGAGGAATAACAGCTGGTGTCCCTACATCCTTTACAAATCCCTATAACAAATTGGTAGCATCTATCCCTGTGTATACCCACTTTGAGTCAAGCTTCTCATAATTGTGTTGCCATTTGCAATGATTTAGAGAATCTGTATTTTCTCTATTTTTTGATTTTGTCATCAGGATAATGTTAATTTTCTAAATAATTTTGAAAGCTTTGCAAATGTTTTAGTATTGCAAAACAGTTAATATAGTATAAGAAACATATGAAAAGTTATCATGGTCTACCATCTTACTTGGAAGAAAATCTGCAATGACTTATTTTGTCATCTTCCTTCATATTTTGATCTGTTTAGTTTTTTTCTAAATCTTGTTTGTGTCAATATTGTAATTTCTATTTAGAAACTGATCATTCGGTCATTTTTCTTTATAAATTTACACAAAGTATCATTTTTTTCAGTTCACTTCCTCTCTTAGTTTACATTACTATTACTTTAGCCCTATTCTTTGTATATTCCTTGCTCATTCTACCTTAAATTTCAGCCGGGGTCCCATTTCCAATTAGAAGCCAACTTCATGTTTTTGCAGCTCCTAGAATACCCAGAGAAATCAATCAATATCCTATCTAGCTTCCATACTCAAATGAGAATGACTTTATATTATGTCAGCAGTCATTCTATTTCATTCTGCCCTGAAGCTCACCCTAACGAGAACCGAGAACCGCAGGGCATGAGGTTTCACTGAGTCCTCAAACCCAGAGAAAGCCCTCTTAACTCTTCAGGCTTTATAGTTTTCTAAATGAAATGCTCTGACCAAGGTAAGGGCTGAGTCCCTAAAGAGCCCCAAGCAATGGGATCATCTGAAGCTGGAGACCTCACTTCATATCAGTGACTGTATAGTAGGATTGGATTTAGTAAGTTAAATCTACATGCACCAGAAGTAACAACCACACTAGAAATACATGTGTTCATTTGTTGTCAAACATTTTTACGTTTCAGAAGCTGCAGAGATTTTCACAACAGTTTTTTTTTTTTTGAGTTATTTTATTGGTAAGGATACCGAAGCTCAAAGAGCTCTAAGTGACATTCTCACGTACATCTTCCAGTCAAGGCCAGAGCCTGAATTTAAACCTGTATCTCATGACTCATTGTGCATTTCTCTTCCCACTATATCCTGCTTGGTTTTCATGAAATTCATCATTTTTATAGTCATGGACTTCAGCTTCTGACATGTGAATGAAGAGAATCCCCATGAGAAAGAAAAGTATTTAAGGTAGTTACTGGGGCCACTTTTTCAAACTTTTTTTTCACCTTAGGAATCTTGTAGTATCAGTGGGGTTTAAATGTGAGAATTTTTTGTTGTACTTTTCCTGTGGCAAAAGATAGAGTGATTATTTTGGAATCTTTGAGCTCTGCCTTCTAATGTGGTGTACATTATGACTAATAAGGAAAATGTAGTAGAGGATTACACGTAGAGGATTTTAACAAAAATATTCCAGTGTTTACTTCTGTTTTGATCTTATCATTCCACTGAATGATCATGGAAGATCCTCTTGGGGTTAAATATCAATAGCTTTTAGGGTTAAGCATCCTAAGTGCCCGCTCTCTTATCTGTTTGGTCCTGACCCCATAGATTACAGGGTTAAGGGCAGGGGGAAAAACCACATATAGATTGGCCAGAAGTATGGGGATATAATGAGGGATGTTGTGGCCAAAGCAGTGTGTCATGAAGGAGAAGAGTGCTGGCAGGTAGAAGGCCAACATTAAGCAGACATGGGAGCCAAATGTCCTGAGTGCCTTGAGGCGGGCATCCCAGGACGGGAGGTAGAAGACTGCTCTGAGGATTTGGACATAGGAAAATCCAATCACAGAAAGGTCAATATATCCCATGGAAAAAGCAATCAAGCCATAGAAAGCACTGACCTTAATACTGGCACAAGCCAACTTTGCCAAACCCAGGGGTTCACCATAGGTGTGGGGGATGATCTGGGCATCACAGAAAGGAAGGCTTAGGGTAAGGACTCTAAAAGGAGACACACACACCAAAGTCCGGACCATGATGACTATGCCCAGGATGGCTATCACCTTATTGGTGAGTAGTATCATGCTGTATCTCAGGAGGTTGCAGACGGCAATGTATCGGTCTATGGCCACGACTGTCAGCACCGCAGACTCCAGGCCAGTGCATATATGGATTGTGTACATCTTGTGATGCAAGCACCAAACACAATCTCCCTGAGATTGAACCAGAAAACACCCAGCATCTTGGGGATGGTGGCTGTAGACAGGCCAAGGTCAGTGCAGGCCAACATGGCCAGGAAGTAAAACATAGGCTGGTGGAGGCTGCATTCAGTCTGGATCACAAACAGGATGGTGACATTTCCCATGAGGGTTATTAGATACACTGCAAAGAAGGGGGAGCCAATCCAGATGTTCACATTTTCCAGCCTTGGAATCCCTATCAGAAGGAAGGAAGAAGGATGGAACTGTATATTGTTGGGGTGCAGCGTATCTGTGGGAATTAGTTATAGACACATTTTTTGCAGGAGTTTTCTTGCTTCCAGCGAGAGAACATAACCTCTTTCAGAGCATGTTGCCTAGTTTCTGGAGGAATAGAAAATCTATTCTTTAATTCCATAATACAGCAGAGACCTAGAGAGTGAATATGAGCCAGAGTTAAAAAGACACTCTCACTTCAAAGTATTTGCCTCACCTACATAGAAAACCATGTAGAAAATTTCCAAAAACAGCAATTCTGCACTTCACTTCTTATGTCTTTTTTCCCTTCAGTCTCTAAGAAAGAACCTACATATGGCTATAAAATAACAAATATTTATTAATTATATCTGTTAATCATGATGTAAAGCCTAAGCAAGATGGTGTGTGTGTGTGTGTGTGTGTGTGTGTGTGTGTGTGTGTGTGTAAAATCACAGGACTTAGATTGAGGTGGAGGGTTTAGGGGAATGATACATTCTTACAAAATAGTCCTGAAAATTAAGAAGATGGTATGTGGATGAATAAACAACAAGTTCCTACTGTATAGCACAGAGGACTATATTTAATATCCTGTGATAAACCATAATGGAAAAGAATATGAAAAAGAATATATATATGTGTAACTGAGTCACTTTGCTGTACAGCAGAAATTAACACAACATTGTAAATCAACTATACGTCAATAAAATTTTAAGAAAAAGAACAAGGAATTGCTAAGTGAAAAACAAAAAAGAAGATGGTACATGGGAGGGAACCCAGTAAAGGTGGTGGATTGAATAGCTGGTGTTGGGATCTGAGCTAAGGAATGGAATTAAGAAATTTTGACATATTGGGAGACTATTCTATAATTCCAGCAGAACAATAGTCTCTCTCAGAGCTACAAAGTCTTAGTACTTTTCCCTTCTAGCACCCATCACCAAATATTTCTTAGCTCAGATTTAATGACATACTATCCAGAGAGCCTTCCACAGTTGGCTTATTGCATGATTATTTATTCTTTTCATTATTTTCCAGGGGTCTATTTATCTTGCTGTTACGTTAGTTATCATTGGTTTTCAGCGGTTCTTTTTTTTTTTTTGCGGTACGCGGGCCTCTCACTGTTGTGGCCTCTCCTGTTGCGGAGCACAGGCTCCGGATGCGCAGGCTCAGCGACCATGGCTCATGGGCCCAGCCGCTCCGCGGCATGTGGGAACTTCTCAGACCAGGGCACGAACCCGTGTCCCCTGCATCGGTAGGCGGACTCTCAACCACTGTGCCACCAGGGAAGCCCATCAGTGGTTCTTAAAGTGTAGTCCCTGGGCCATGGGTATCAGCATTATCTGGTAATTTATTATAAATGCTAATTATTGGACACTACCCCAGACTCACTAAATCAGAATCTCTGGGGCTGGGACACAGTAATATGCTATTGAACCCTCCAGGCGATTCTGATGTTCATTCTAGCTTAAAAAAACACTGCTAAATTTTTACCACTAGGGTATAATCTCTTTGAGGTCAAAATCAGTGTCAGATTTATCTCCATGGTATACTTTATATAGTGATAGGCAGTGATCAGCAATAATTAGCAAATGAAAGTTAAAAGTTTACTGGAAACAATCTTTCCAGTTATTGTATACAAGGTCCTAGATAAATACAAACTGGGTTATAGAATAGCGTGTAGAAGGATTTTGGAGGAGATCTCAGGAATTATACTTGTAAAAAACTAGTAATGTATGTTTGGGTCAAAGGAGAAGCTGACTCACCATGAGGCTGCATCTGGGGCCTGCATGATACTATGGGAAGCTCCTGTGCTGGAATGGCCCTTCTGTGTTATCCCATAATGAGGCAAGGAAGCCAGTTATTTGTACTCCCGTGGTATCCTGTCATTGGCGGAGGATTACCCTGTGTGATAGGACAAAACTTTGGATAAGGTAGTTCCTTGGGTCTGAGGACAATTCCAGGGAGGGGTGCAGATGTGAGCTCCCAGTATCTGATATTCCCAGCAGCTGGGAGATAGGTACATAGGTCCTGAAAAGCAGATCTGGGAGGTGTGTCATAGGGTATACTACAGATGGCATTGTGCTTCTACTCTCTCGGCAGTATCTTCTCCTTCAGTCTTGGGAAACTTACTTTCTTTTTACTCATTTGTCTGCATTTAAACCTCACACCTTACTTTGTCTTCTTTCTCTACCCGCAAATGTTTTCTTGTGTCAGAGGCAAAGCTTTAATTTGCTCCTAGATATGGCTTGGAATAAAATTCATGTTTAGTCTTAGTTAAACAAAAAATTCTTCTTAGATATAATCCCCACTCCCAGGGCACACACACACATGCAGTCATGCACACACACATACACACACATTTTGATATACTGCAGAAAGGCTTAACAAATTTTGGTTCGTTCCAAGCAACTTGCCTTAGAATGCATGCTCTGTTTTTGCTTTTTCTGGACTTGAGACTGAATCCCATGCAGTCCTCACGACTCCATCTTTCCTGTCATCTGGAGACCAGAAATAACTAAAAATTTTTGCATGTGGCATGCAAACTGGAGAATAAGAAATCCCTCATTTATTAACATCCTTTTGATCTTCATAAAATGTTCTTGTCTCTCAGCTTACGCGGGCCTCTCACTGTTGTGGCCTCTCCCGTTGCGGAGCACAGGCTCCGGACGCGCAGGCTCAGCGGCCATGGCTCACGGGCCCAGCCGCTCCGCGGCATGTGGGATCTTCCCGGACTGGGGCAGGAACCCGTGTCCCCTGCATTGGCAGGCGGACTCTCAACCACTGCGCCACCAGGGAAGCCCCTACATTATATTTTGAACTAAGTCTTCAAAATATGGTGTGTATTTTATATGTACGGCACATCTCAATTCAGACTAGGCATGTCTGAATTGTTCAACAGCCACCGGAGCCTCTTGGCTATCATAGTGGACAGCCAGATCTTGATATTCAACTCCTTGATATTCATTCCATCCTTACAGCCCCCTCATCATAATTTCTTTTACAGTTAGCTCAAAAAGCATATAGCATCCCTCTCCCAAAGACAAAGTGCTCATGCACAAGCTGTTCATGTTTGATCATAAAGTAAAGGAGGTATGGAGAAGCTAGAAGAAATCATTCTCTTCCTAAAAGTGCTTCATATTGATTATTTTCTTTTTACATTTTCCTCCCATTCTGACAGAAAAATCTGTATTGGACTGATCATTTTCCTCTTCTCTCCTGTTTTTACTTCAGTGTGTTTAGATTTTTTTTTTTCAATCACTACCTTAGATTTTTAAGATCCATGAAGTTTGTAGTAAAAACTGAAGTTAGAATCTTTTTTTAAAATTGAATTTAAAGCCACCCAAATTAACATTATAATGGATTTTAGCACTCAATCCTATATGTACTTACATAAAAAAACCAGCAATTTCTTTGCCCATGTATTGCATTTTATAAAACCTGACGACGTTACAAGAATGTAAAATTACAGGTCAATTTCTTTCATAAACAGAGATAAAAACAAAACCTAAACAACGTATGAGCAAAAACAAATCCAGTATTGCATATGAAGAATAACAGTGGTTTATTCCAGAAATCTGTGTTAGATTTAAAAACGGAAATAAATCAATGTATTCCAAGAACAGAATAAAAATGACGTGTGATTATCTTAACAATTACAGCGACAATATATGTTGAAATTCAACTTTCCACTCAGTACAAAAACTGACATCAAATTAATAGAAGAGAATTTCCTAAATTTGATTCCATACATCAACAAAGAAAAATCTCCACCAAATGCCATGCTTAATGGTAAAATGTTGAGGGAACAGTTCTGAGCTTTCTGAGATGCTCTTCCCAGGTTATAATCCTCAAATTTGGCTCGAATAAAATTTTCCAATTCTTTCTTAAAAAAAAAAAGGGGAAAAATGTTGACAGCTACCCCTCACCCATCTCAAGATCTGTAATTAATCTGTCAAGGATGTTCACTGTCACCGCTGGGTTACTCAGCTCTAGCACTGAGTAAATGTTCAACAGGAAAGGAGTGAGAACACAGGAAAATCGGAGGTAAGAAAGGAGAAACTGAGATGCAGAAGAGCCTTGGAGTAGAGAGTACGGCTCAGATGGTGGGAACAGCAGAAAGTTCAAGAGCTTGGGCGGCGCAGGGTCATCGGGACTACACAGTTGCAAGGATTAAAATATGGACATAGGGTGGTAGGAAAGTAATACTTAGAGAAGGTGTAGATGGGGAAGCCGTGGTTGGTGACATTGTAAAAGGAGACCGTGCCGGCCTCATAGTCTAAGAACACCCCAATTCGGCGAGGGGGCACCATCATGGAGAGGAGCAAGGAGGTGGACGATTCCTCATAGGCTCTGTATTCGTGCTTATGATGTAACCCAATCACCCAGTATCCACTTTGAGGCTGGTATCGGGAGTAAACATTCCGATTGTTCGCAAACTGGTTGAAAGAGAACGTAGGTCCCGTTGAATCACTGCACACCCCCAGGATCCAGTCAGTCTTCTTGGCCACGTCTACCTCCCAGTAATGCTTTCCTGAGGAGAAGTGCCGAGAGCCCAGGACACCACAGCCATAATGCTCTTCCAGATGAGACCCAGACAGCTGAGTGCCCACAAATCTCACCTGCCTCCGGTTCTTAGACAGGACGAGATTTAAATTAGCCGTGTGTGGATTCAGAGTCACGTCCACTGTGGGAGAAAGGTACAGCATCAGCAGATGAGAATGGGTATGTGGGTCTTATGACTCTGAGAAGAGGAAGCGAGGATATGGGTGGGAGGAATTGGAGCTAGGTGGTGGAGCTAGGGGGCTGGGGGGAAACAGCAACACCTCATACCTGAGAGTGTGTGTGTGGGTATGTTTGGCAAGGATAAGAACATGTCAGCTCAAAGAGGCCACAGTTTCTACTTACCCCAGTAGCTCTGGACATCTGTCAGCTCTGTAATGATAAAGAGTCAATCACATTTTATAGACCCATCAGTCTCAGGTCTGCTATCTCTCCCTTACCTGGCTGAGAGGTGTGGAAGGGAATTCTATAAGGATGTGAACCGGCCATTTCATTCCCCCTTCAGTATGACCTGCATCTTTTCAGCACATTGTGTCCCTCCCTCTTTGATCTCTTTCCCTGACACTATTCCCAAATACCAATCCTACCCTGCATTCTTTTTATTTCCTCTACTACCATGGTCCCTCATCCAAACGCTGTTCCCTGAAACTCCTCACCTCTAAACACTCGCAGCATCTTTTTCAGATCTGGGGCTCGAAACGTACTCTTCAGCTTGGTGGGGAGAGCTTCTGGCTTCTTCAGGGTCCAGAGCTCACTCCTAGAGAGAACAGACATTATGAATCTTCAACACTGCTCACCTTGGGTGTCTCTAACACCTGTCTCCTTCATCTCCCAGGCCCACTGGTGAACTTCAACACTCTTCCTTGAAGAAAATTAGCATCATTCTGCAAAGACCTCTGGCATAGGAGCCAGAAGAACTGGACTAAAAACTAGCTTCTCACCATCTGTGTACACACTGGTAAGATTTTCATTCTTTTTTTATTGGCTGTGTAGTATCTCTCTCTCTCTCTCTTTCATATATATATATATATATATATATATATATATATATATATATATACCACATCTTCTTTATCTATTCATCTGTTGAGGGGCACTTAGGTCGCTTCCACATCTTGGCTATCATAAATAGTGCTGCGATGAATACTGGGGTGAATATATCTTTTGTACAGAACAGGGAATATAGCCGATATTTTATAATAACTTTAAATGGAGTATAATCTATAAAAGTATTGAATCACTATGTTGTACATCTGAAACTAATATACTCTTGCAAATCAACTATATATACATCAATTAAAAAAAAGTTGATAGGATTTATCCCGCAAAGCCTCATTTTTGTTCCTTTGTTTGCTTTGTTGTTGTTTTGTAAAATACAATAATTTTCCCTTCTTTCTCTGCATCCTAGAGACTGTATAATATTAAATAAAATAATGGCTGGGAAATCCTTTGCTACCTCTAAAAAAGATACAAAATACTTAAAATGTCAGCACCCTCTTAGAGGGCCTACAGGTATCTGTGTTGACAGGCAGGACATCAGGAACTGCTGCTAGGGCTTTCAGAGTATCAGGTGAAGGGCTCCCTTAGAAGAGTCTGTGATTTAGGTCTCAAGGTCTTGCAGAGGCCCAGGGAGAAAGACCTTCAGAACAGCCTCTTAGGATTCTCGGTCTCTGGGAACATTACGCCAGTTGGAAAAAGGAAACGTCCTCACCTCCAAACTGAGAATAAAGACTTCCGAAGGGACAACAGGCTCCATAGGTCATGTGTTCGTGAGGCGCTTCAAGGTGCCAGGTATGTGGGCTACTTTAGGGGTCACCTTGATGAATGAAATTCTAGAGTAGGTGATAGAGAAGAGAACATGTTTTTGTTTCAGGGCCAAAGCCACTCTCTTCAAGACCTCGGGTCTATATTTTTACTGGAATTGAGAAAAATGGAAGACTGAGGAGAACTAGGTAGCAAGGCATGGCCTGTTCCAAAGCCAAGGGGGAAAGGGAAATTTAAGCAGGTATCCCAAGAGCTGATTTCTGGACCTTGGGAAAAAAAAGCAAATGGGAAATTTCCCTCTGATAAAGTATGTGGGCAAAGAAAATCCCTGTGTATTTTGAGGTAGCTATGAGCTACTAGAATCAGGACTGGAAGCAGGTACAGAGGTTTGTGGAAAAGGAGTTCTATCACGAGGTACATGGGGAGTCAGTGATATGGTAATCCTTGATTCTTAAGAACACTACTGTCCCAATTTGTGACCTTCTGCCACTCAAATTCTCCTACCATTGAAACCAAGTCATTCCCTTTACTTTGGGGGACCCCAAATTCTCACGAAAAGCCACTCAAGACACCACAGTCCTAAATCTTCCCTGCTTTGTGATTTTTTCCTTTCCCACTGACCACAAGATAACTCTATGGGTACAGGAGTCTTTTGTCAACCCAAGGGAACCACGTCATGTTCTACACATACCTTTTCGCGACATCACTCACATCCTAGGAAAGAAAGAGACAGGTTAAGTCAAGGGTAATAGGACTTGTCCTCTACTACAGCCTCATCCATGTCCCTCATCCCATTCTCACCACCCCATGATGACAGAGGTAGAGATGATCCGATATGGAGGCCACAAAGTAAAGATAAGAGCTGAAAGCAGACTCTCCCTGAGACCCTATGTAGGGATGTCAGGAAATGATTCAATTCATTCATTAGTACCTTTATTTTTACAACAGAGTGTGTGTGTGTGTGTGTGTGTGTGTGGTGTTATATATGTACCTCATCTTTTATTTGCCAGGCACTGTGCCTTCTTCTAGATGCTCTCACATGACTAAGTCCTGATTTCTGTCTTTGAGATGCTCACATTCTGTTTGCTGAGGACACAAGGGCCATAAAATGTGGTTGTTTCTCAAATTCCACCTCCCCTAACCCTCTATGCTACCTTTTCTGACTTTGTGTATTTTTCTTGATTTCAACACACACATGTGTTGATGATTCCTAAATCTGTACTTCTCCTTACATCTCTTTTATATACCCCTCACATAAGCCACGGGCACCACAAATTCAAGATATCTGAAAGAAAACTTACCTTTCCTGCAACCATGGTCTCTTCTGTTATCTTCCATCTTCCTCAATGATCCCAGCATCCAGTCACCAAATGTAGACAAAGTACTGTCCTAAAAGCTACCTGACATCCCATCTTAGACCAAGCCAGTGCATTTCACACCCTTACTGCTCTTTATCATCATCACTGCCACTGCCTGCCTCATTTGAGTAGAATTGTCTCATGGCCTCCGAATTGGTCTTCCTAACTTCTGCTCTATACACCTCAATGCAGCAGAAGGAAAGGCCAATGGTTTGATCTATGTAACATAGGAATAACTATTTTCATGGTATTGGAGCTATTTTTGGTTGTATTTGACAAAAACACAACTCAAACTGGCTTGCACATGTAAAGTGGTAGAGGTGGATCCAGGATTGTATCAATCTTAAGGCATACTTGTAATAAGGAACTCAAATGATCAAATCAGGGTGATACTTCATGCCTCTTCCTCTTAGCTTTACTCTCAGGGTTCACATTTTGAAACTTGAAAGCTGCAGGCTTGCATCCAGCTGTCAAATCTTAATGGGTAACCATGTCAAACAAATATGGAAAAGAGAAGGAGGAAGTGTCTGTGGATGGGCAAGTTCTGGAAAAATTGACTGTGAGATAACACTCTAGTTAAAATGACCATTGGGCAGTCATACTAACTAGTGGGTAGAAGAGTCTAGACAGGTGCCTGGACTAGCTATTATATAAATTGATGATCCATTTGCACTTACGAAGCAATTTTTCCAGTTTGAAGAGACTTGTAAAGGGGCTGGAACAAGTGGGGGAAGGAGCAAGCATTAGGGCAACCTAACATCAAAGATGAAGAAAAAAGCAAGAAGAATAAACTGAAGTTGTGAAACCAGAAGCAGTGAATGAGGAAAATCTCCAACAGGTGGAAAATAACTACCCCATGACCCTAATACTAGGGCCCAAGTATAAGTAAAGAAATTATTATTCCACCAGGAAAGGGAGCAAGAGGAAAGCAAGAAAGCAAACAGAAAATAAGGAAGAGCCTGAAGGTTCCAGAATGTCACAAGGTGCATCCTGCTTCAACTTAATAGTCACACTATTCACTCTATGAAGCCAGCAGCTGCTCAGATTTCAACCTCAGTTCAAATCTCTCCATCAGATCTCTTTGGATTTGACAGCTTGCACCCTCCCAAGCCACATACACACACAGACCAGAGCTCATTGTTTGTGCCTCTAAAGTCCTGTTCAAACTTCTATTACAACATGTTCAATGATGCTGCCCTAGAGAAGAAAGCGAAGCAAAGAAGGGCTGGTAATTACATAAAAATTCTCTAAGTACTTGAGTTTGGTATGTGTTTGCCTGTGACTGAGCTGAGTGAAAAGCACCTGACCAATCCCAACACGGCATCAGAGACAACGGGTACCTAATGGCCAGTGATTCTCAACAGGGGGAGGGAGGATAAGTTCTCCCCAGGGTCATTTGGCAATGTCTGGAGGGTTTTTTTGTTGTCACAGCTAGTTGGATGCTACTGGCATCTAGAGGGTAGAGGCCAGGGATGCTGCTGAACATCCTACAATGCACAGGGCAGCCCCTCACAGCAAAGAATCTTCTAGCCCAAAAGGTCAATAGTACCAAGATTGAGAAATGCTGCAGTAAAACATCACTCAATCTTTTACATTGTATCAAATGAACTTTTGGACTATCCTTTATACATAAGAAATAAAAATGAGACATTCCTTTAGCATTTGTACTTTTAATTATCCTGTGCTTTATCCATGAACTTTGAACTGTTTAATAGGGAAGAGGCACTACAGGGTCAAAGGAAATTTTTTTCTTTCCCCCACCAAGATAAGGAGTCCCACATCAGAAGGGAAGGAAAGTTAGTCTCTCTTTGCCTTGACCGTCAGACCTCGGGCTCCTTTGCGATTCCTACCTGCAGCAGCTCCGTTGTTGACCCCTGACACCGGCGCTCCAGGTCTGAGATGAGCTCTCTCAGGGACTGGCTCTGCTGCATCAGCTCACCCTCAGCTTCTGCGATGATGTTCAGCCCCTTCCTCTCCTCCTCCTCCAGCTTCTTCAGCTGCCGCTGCTCCTCTCTGTCCAGGATGCTCCTCAACTGATCAAACTGCTTCTGGATCCTGTGTCTCTCAGGTTCCATCTGATTCTTCCGGAACATGGAAGAGAAAGAGGTTGCTAGTCTGTTGAGCTGAGGGTCTCCTGTATAAGGGGTTGGGGAGGCAGGCTCTGTACTGCTTTCCTGGCAGGTCTCACTGGGGGGGAATGAGCAAATGGGGGAGTAAGTCCTGCAGAACCTGCTCTCTTCTCCTATTCTCCCTTCAGCTCTTCTCAGACCATTGGCCCCAGGCTGTCTTATCTAGGCTTCTGAGATACAGACTTAGATTCCTAGGTGGGATTTAGATTCCAAGCAGCCTCTCTGGCCTCTCAGGACTCACCATCAGCCTCCCCTTCCAGTTTTCGATATTGAGAGTGGCCTGTGCATGACCTATTTTTCCAACTTTCAGAGCTCGAAACTATAGAACAAGGTCCAGAATCAGGAATTAAGGGCTGCCAATGGCCATGGTTCCTCTCCCATGATTGTCTTCAAAAACCTAGATTCCCTTTGATATGTTCATTTTCTAACTCCCCCTTCTCTCTCCCTGGCTCTGCACCAAGAATAATACCCTTGTTTGGAAGGGTTGCCGTGAAGGACGAGGCAAAGGGAAGCTCTTCTAGCTAAATCAGGGAACAGACAGAACTAGGTCCCCTTTGCCCTCGGCTCCCACATCCTGCCCTGATTCCCGTCCCAGGACACCTTCAGAAGAATCTCTCTTACCTTCCAGGATGCCCTCTTCTCTCTGATAACAGCTGTTAGTTTCTCAGCTTCCTGCTGCTCTTGCCTCAGCTTCTTCAGAGACTCCTCGAACTTCTCCTGGAAGAAACACATCAAGTCAAGCAGGATCAAGTGTCAAATTGTTTCAGTGTGGAGACATGGAATGAATGGGGGAGAGATTATTATGCTGACCTCAGGAGATGCCTGTCCCGGAATGAAAAACTGAGAAGGTCAAAGTTATCTTTTATAAACAGGGGATAGAAACCACTGGGAATAGGCTGATTCTCTTTTCTCCAGGGGAAAGAACCTGACCATGAACCACTTTAAGTCCTTTACTCTCACTGCCAACATATCCCCTGAACTCAACCTGCCCTGCCCGCTACTGGCCCCGAGCAGCATCCTCCACTCATGCAGAACCAATCATGAGCAGCGAGAAAGAGCTACAGTCTCTGCTCTTGGCCAGAGGGGCTTTTTCTAGGTTCATCCTCTACATAAATAGATGGACTACAAAGAAATTAGATTAGAGCATAAAGAAAAGTTAATAATCTACCAAGGAGTCTGTTCCCACCTGCCTTCCCTCCATCTGGGCTCCCACCTGGTACTCCTGGGCCACCTCTTCCATGAGGAACGTGTGGTGACCACGGTGCTCCTGGGACCTCTCGCACAGCCAGCAAATGAGCTTCCCATCCTCCTTACAGAAGAGCTGGAGTTTCTCTCCATGGTGCGCACAAAGAACCACCTTCAGCTGCTTCCCCAGGCCCAACACCACCTCCCTGAGCCTGTCCGCTATGTTGGCCAGGTGCCGATTGGGCCGCAGGTTCCCAGGCTGGTAGCTGGTCTGGCACACAGGACAGCTGCTCTCTTCTTCTTGGCCAATACCCAACTCCTTGCTATCCCCCGTGATGCAGGCTTGGCAGAAGCTGTGTCCACAGTCTATGCTCAGGGGTTCTGTCAGGAGCTCCAGGCAGATGGGGCAGGTCACTTCGTCCTGGATGTCCACCAGGACTGCTGAAGTCATTGTAGCCACTCTCCTGGCTCCGGCCTGCCCAGCCCTGACTTCTAAGGTGTTTCTTGTGTATAGAATCCTGGGTAGATGGCCAAAAAAAAGGGTTCAGGGTAAGAAATGAGGCAGACAAAGGCAGGCTGACTGTTCTGGATAAACAGGTCAAGCACCTGGGGTAACAAGAGCTTCTCATTCTAACTTCAAGCATGTTCTTTGCCCCTGCTCACATTAGACAGCAATTTGCACTCTCATTAGAGCAATGATCACGGTTTCCTTTTACTCCTACTGGATGAAGGGACAATGATGTGCTGGAGAGAAGTGGCCTTGGGTAGGGCACTGTCTGTTTAACCTTTTCTCAGCCCACCAAAACACATCCTCAATGTTCAAAGCACCAGAACATGCTGCTGCCTCAGGATTTTTGCACTTGCTGTTCCTGCTGCAAGGAAGCCCCTTCACCCTGGTATCTGCATGGCTCTCTGACTTCATTCAATTCTCTCCTTACATGTTTTATCAGAAGAGTTTGCTCTGTCAAGCCTAGCTAAGGCATGGCCACCCACACCATCACTCTCAATAGACTTACCTGCTTGATTTTCCTTATCACCACCTAATATGGATCTTTAATTGTTTGAATATTCCCACTGGAATATAAGCTCCATGAGATCAGAGACTGCTTTTGTTCATTATTGAACTAGCTCAGTGTCCAACACACAGGTCCTCAACTTTTGATGAAGAAAACTCTAGAACCTCCTCATCCCTCCATAGATGATTAGACCTTTCTCATGAGCTCCTTCACCTCTCTTTCACATGGTGCTGGCACTGCTCTCCAGGATCTAATCTCCAAGATCAAAAGCATCATTTATTGTGACGACACATCTACCTTCTAACAGCTCTTTACAGAGCCCTTTCATCTCTCATGGTCACCTTCCCCAAAAAACCCAAAGAAACAAAAATGACCACCATAAGGTGATGTTATATCTTTACAATTAACACTTGTATAACCAGTTGTGATTTAGAAATCATATTCCCCTGTTTTCTTTATCTCTCATAGGAGAACTCTGAATTAATAAGAGTATTTTTAGCCTCTTGATAAAGAAATAGAGACGTAAGTGACTTTATAAAATCACACATCTTATAAAATCATAGATGTGTTCTAATAAGAACCTGCTGTATAAAAAATAAATAAAATAAAATTCAAAAATTAAAAAAAAATTATGCTTTGAGGTAGGGTCAGTATACCCATTTTATAGGTAAAGAAACCTGGACATGGAGGTTGAATCAGCTCTACTGTGAACTGAGAGTGAAAGGGGTGGCCCAAAGAAAACCAAGAGACTTGTGAGAAGAGAAGGGACAGTGGGCAGGTGAAACAATGGATGTTTGATATGTCTACTAGTTGTCCCTCAGCTACCGCCCCTGATTCATTCTGTCTGGTATTATGGTTAGGTGTTTTCATGTGTATCTACCCTCGGATTGAGAGACCCTGAGAACTATATATCTGGACTATTTGTTATCATTGTATCTCCTGGAGGACCCAGGACAATCCTCCGAATATAGTATATGCTCAATAAATGTTTCTTGACATTATTGTTTCATTAAACTAGTTTAAACCAGAAAAAAAAAATAAATGTAGAGTTGGCAAAACCTATTATGTCCAGAGTCCTAGTTCAAAGCTCTGTCCTCAAACCTCATATCTTTAACCAAAGACGGTGGTGAAGGTGGTCAAAGTCAGGCACAGACCTGGTGCTTTGGGAGAAGAGATTTCACCAGGCCTGTCCAAAACTCTGTGCCTGTGTGTGGGGGACAGAGGGGACAGGTGGGAGAGTCGATGCCACATATGTTCTAGCGAGAGTTCACAGAAAAACGACCTGAGGCAGAGGTATGCTGGTGGAATGGTCGGGACAAAGAGGTCTTATAGCATTTGGGGAAAGTATTTCAGAATCGCTAATAGGAGAAAAGTATAAAAATGGAGGAAAAAGAGGAATGAAGTATCAATACATGTTACAACAAGATTGAGCCTTGAAAACATTATGCTAAGTGAGTGAAGTCAGATACAAAAGATTACACACTGTATAACTCCATTTACAGGAAATATCTAGAGTAGGCAAACCTACAGACATGGAAAGTAGATGAGTGGTTGTCAAGAGTTGGTGGGAGAGGGAATGGGAAATAACTGCTAATGAGTCTGGGGTCTCTTTTGGGGGTGATGAAAATATTCTGGAATAAGATAGTGGTGCTAGTTGAAAAACTTTGTGATTTTTCCAAAACAATGAATTGTATACCTTTAAAGGATGAATTTTATGGTCTGTGAACTATATCTCAATTAAAAAAAATTGTATGAGAGGAAAATAAGAGGGAGAAGCTATCTTGTGACTTCTGGTTCAGAGCTGTCCCAACCCCACAGCTTTTACACAAGGCATACTGTTGGAGAGGATCTAAGAGTCAAGCACATTGCTATAGTTGGTATGGGGAGATAACGGTGAATGAAATATATACTCTACGAGGAGGTGTACCATTCAGACTTCGAGCAAGAAACACATCCATTTTTGAACACATAGCAAAGACAATCATCATTAATGCAAGCAAGTATATATGCATGCAGGTATTTGTTTCAAGGAACAGTGGAAGGTAGAAAATAATCAGAGACCATCTTCTGATCGCTTTTTATGTGAGGTAATGGCTGAACTCTTTACAGGTAGTATACTGATGTAATCCAACCCCACAATAACTCTATAAGATACATTTAATAACACCTATTTTACAAATGTGAAAAGTGAACTTCTTAAAAAGGTATTCAATTACCAAAGGTCTCAGAATGAATAAGTGACAAAGTAAAGGTTATAATCTAGTTTTATGCAAATCCAAACCTCAGGTTGTTGTCTGGTCCTTAAAGGAAGAGAATGTTTCCTTTATGCACCCCCCCCCAAACTTGCAAGGGTGCTCAGGTCACAAAGTGGCTCAGCTTCTTTCTACCCACCTCCTGACTGGTGCTTGTCTCATTTTTGGGGCTGCATTGATTCAGCATAATAGTCCCCTTCTTCCTGGCATTTGAAGGCATCCTACAGCTCTTCCTAAGCTATGTGTAGGCTCCTTCTCCAGCCCTGTTCTGCTTCATTCCTGGTGGCACATCCCCAGGACTCAGGCTGCTTCCCTTGCCCTGGCAGGGTGAGGTGAGAAGAGAAGGCACTGACACTGGAGTAACACAGACACAGGTCTGAATCCTGAATTTATCTGTCTCTAGTTCTGGAACACTGGGGTAATCCCTGATCTGAGATGTGGTTTAATGTCTTGTGTATTGCTGATAACAAGTCCTCCCTTATAGCACACTTGTGATAAATTATCTGAGCCAGTGTGTAGAAAAGTCTCTGTCACTACATTTATACTGTCATTGCTCTTCAATCCTTCAGTGCTCTGCCCTCTTACCATGAGGAAAAGAGCCTCTTCAGTATTTTACCAGAAATAGGGATAGAGCAGAGTCTGGTGGATGAATAGCTCTATATAAATATCTGTATAAGAATGAATGCATCACTTTCTCACCCCCTTTCATATCTTCTTCCTTGTTTTGGACCTAGGAGAAAAATCCACTACCTCAATTCATAACAAGATTTGATAAGATGGCATTTAAGGACAATGTGAGAATGCTGGACCTCACCCAGTAGTTTCTGTGTGCCTGGCATAAATAAGGGTCAGTTAAGAAAGCTAGTAGCTTCTCTGACAAGACAACTAAAGATGCTGTAACTAACCCTAACTTTATTTTTTGTCTGGGCTGAATTAATATGTATGTCCCCACTGAAAAACATCTTATTCTCATTCTTGAAAGTTTTCAGTCATTAAATTATATTACTGTTGTCTTAAATCACATAATTATTTCTGAATTTTATTTATTTACTTTTTATACAGCAGGTTCTTAATAGTTATCTATTTTATACATATTAGTGTATATATGTCAATCTTAAATCACATAATTTTTTAAAGAATTTAAGATTACTTATTTATTTATTTTTACTATTCCAGCATTGAATTACTCATTGGAAGCCATATGCTCCGTTTGTCTAGCTGGAGTCTGGTTTGGGCCACCAAAGAAGAGCCAGCTGACAAATGCACTGCCTAGTTGGAGGCACACTACCCCTGACCCCAGCTGTGACCCTTGTGTACAGGATAGGCCACAGGGTGACTGAAAGCAGATATAATTCCACAGTGTTTCTTTGTCTGGCCCCCCCTGCAAAGGCAGATGTACACTGATGTACAGCTTGGTCAGTGTGGGCATAATTAAAGAACACAAGGTCTGTCAGCTAGGCAGCAGTAGGGAAGGGATGGGGTTAAACGAAGGTGTGCTTTGTTTTGCAGAAACTAACCACTAAGTTGCATAAAGTTCCAAACACCAGATGTTTCAAAAAGGTTACAGTGCATTCCAATCAACAAGCTATCAAAGTATAAGCAAACAACCAAGCACTTGCTTGCTTGCAGTTTTTGGCAACCTAGAGAAACCCGTACTACATGGAAGATCATGCCTGCCCCTGCATGAACATGCACATACCCCAGACATAAAACTTCCCTGATCCAGCTGTTTGGAAAGACAGTACTTTGAGAGCTATCTCCCTGTCTCCTTACTGGTCACAAGTAAGAAATGCTTCTACTTTAATCAAAAGTACTTGGTGTGTCCATTGGCTATGCACCCCAAGTGACTGGACCATTGAGTCTAGTAACAGGTCCTGTAACTGTCACCAATTTTCCCCTCCTGAGTGTGTGGTAGGATAAAAAATATCAAATTGCCTCTCAGTAACAAGAAGCCCTTACAGGAGAAAGGCCCTGAGAAAGTGTCCCAGACTAAGAAAACAGTCTGTGAGATACAGCATAGATGAGCAGGGTGAGTATAGGGCATTGCTGGGGATCGAGTGAGCTGTAAACATGACCTCAATGAGTATTACCAACCAAGAAAATGGATGTACTGATATATACAACAAAATAAATCTCAAAAGCACTACGCAAAGTGAAAGAAGCTAGACAGCAAGGATAAGTTGCTGTATGATTCCATTTATACGAAATACTAAAAAAGATAAAACATTACTATTTGAGATCAGATTAGTGGATACCAGGGCCCAGGGCTGTGAGAAGGGGATGAATTGCAAAGGGACACAAAAAAATTTGGGGGGGTGACAGAAATCCCCTATATATATCATGATTGTGTTGTTTGGACAACTATATACAAGTCAAAACTCACGGAGTTGTATGCTTAAAATTGCTAACTTATTAAATGTAAATGATAACTCATTAGAGCTAACAAAAACAAAATAGAAGAAATGCAATGAGAAAAACTGAGGCTTGGCGTTTTTGATCTTCTAAGCACAAATAATAACTGTGTTGTCAAATATGGTAGCCACAGGTGGCTACTGAGTGCTTGAAATGTGGCTAGTTGGAAATAAGATGTTTTAAGTATAAAACACACACTGGATTTCAAAGATTTGGTAAGAAAATATAATCTAAAACATTTCGTTAATGGATTTTTTTCTAAATATATTTTGGAAGCATGGAGTTAAATATATTAAAATCAATTTCATCTGTTTCTTCTAACATTTTAATAAGGCCAATAGAAAAATTTAAGTTATGTATGTGGCTCTATTATATTTCTCTATTACTTTTCCATCTAATGCTCTACTTGAGATATTCAAGGCAGAGAAGGAATCTTGAACAGAAAAGATTATGTAAGAGTTGATGTCTCTTGTTAAGGCTGGGAAAGGGAGCGAGGGGAACAGAGTCAGCTAACATTCAGTTAGAAAGGGTTTGCGTAGCCCTGCTCACATGCCAGCAGGCGCTTGACCACTGCTACTCCTGATCGCCACCCAGAGGACACAAGAAAAGCCAACAGAATCCCTGACTAAGGACACATCTCAAGAGCAGTGTGGGTGGCAGAAAGATAAGTCTGGCTGTGTGAGGAGCGCAGATACCAGACCTTAAGGGGAAGAACCTTGAAGATCAAATTAGCAAATGAAACAGGCCAAATTCACGACTAGGGCCAGTTAAATCAGAAGCAGATGCCAGAAAAAGGCCGTGCGGTCTGCTAACTAGCCTCACTGGCGTCCAGTGGAGCTCTTTATGCAGAATCTCTAGGCCTCACCGAGACCAATTCAGTATCTGCGCTTTAATAAGATCTCAGGTAATTCGTATGCACATTAAGGCCTCAGAAGCATTGCCTTAAACACAGGAGCCTTCTTCCCAGGTAAGTGCAATTTAGGGTGCAAAATAGAAAAGGGGGAGGGTGGGTGGGGGAGGCCAAAGAATGGACTGATATGTAGATCTGAAGCATCTTTTAGAATGAAAGCTCACACAATTCGATATTAAAAGGGCTTTCAGAATAACACTAGTCCAGGCTGGGGCTCTGAATGAAAGTTAGAAATAAGATGGGTGGGACTGCCCCCGAACTGGGAGCTCTAGTGAAAACAGGGTAAAAATCTAAACACGTGGCAACTGCATGCATAAATGAGTTGAGATTGTGCTGAGGAAATAATTTTCTTTTGCAGGAAGCACTCGATAAATGTTTGAATTGGAACATACTTTAAATTTTTTTTAAAACTTCAAAAAATCACTACCTCATGCATTCAAAATTTATAATGATTCAATAACTTTCCAAATTCTTAAAATATTGTCCTGCACAGGTTTTCTTCTCCCTGAGTGTTAGATAATCCATTAACTGAGTGTCTTTTTTTAGGTTAGATAATAAAATTCTAATCATTTTTTTCTGCATTTGTGATATTCCACTTGTAATTCCTAATCGTTTAAACCCTGCTGTATTTTAACTTGTTGAGATGTCAGAAGGAGTCATAGTCTCCTTTATCATAGTGCATTTGTACATATTTTATTCCCTACTCTAATCTTTCACAAATTGTTTTGATTTTGCATTTTTTAAGGTAGGCATTGAGTTTGTCCATAATAATGACTTAATAATTTGAGTATTTACTATTTTTTCAGGCACTCTCCTGTGTGTTTAAACTTCTGCCTCACTTAAGCCTCACCAAAACTCTATAATATAAATATTACTCTGTCCATTTTATAGGTGGAAGAAACAAGCTCAAAGAGCTCAAACAAAAGGTGGGGGGTACACAGCCAGCGTCTAAGTGTCAGAGGCAGAGTTTGAACCCAGGCACTCTGTTTGCAGCACCCATGCTCCTAACCACACATTTCTGTCTTCATTGATTGATAGATTAAATGTTGTTGCTAATCTCGCTGAGTTCATTCGCAGTGAGGATGAAAAGATAAATTATCTGTATCATGAGCTCCTAAAGGGAAGGGACCCCATTTCTTTTACCGCCTTGTCACTTCAAGTGACAGTAAGTGGCCCAGCCACAGATGGCATACATCTCCAGGTGACCGGCACACGGATTCTCCAGATGTGAGGCTCCATGTGGTCAAAGCTCCTCTGAGCAAACCAAGGAGTTTTACATAGATTCTGAGCAACTGAGAGCGCTCACTCGTTTGGTCTTTCTTTTTGAACAACCGCGCACGGCCCTGCTACCTAAGGCGAAATGCACGGCTGTCGGGCCAGCCCGGCCTTTGCACAGACTGAATGCGGAAGGCTCGTCTCCCAGCTCCCTCTGGGAGGAGTCAGGGCCTCCCGGGGCGGGGGGGGGGGGGGGGGGGGGGGGGGCGGTAGGATAAACGGTGCTCACTTCCCGGAGCAGAAAGGCTGGAGATGGGGGGAAGGGCTGCTGACCTCTGGATCCACACCAGCCGCAGGGTCTGCCATCATTCCCTATCAAAACTTTCAGAGCTGCCGCCCCTACAGCCTTCAGCTTCCAGAATCAGGGTTTCATTATCACTATCTTTACACAGGCTACTCCCAGCTCCAAAGGTGCCTCTTCTGTACTCTCTTCCTGAACTTGAGTCAACTCAAAACTGCAGAGGTCTCCCTCGCCCTGCCTCCACCCGCGAACCTCCCAACCAACCTGTAGGGCACGTCAACCTCTGAGTACTAGTGGGGACAGCGGTGGCTGGCCAGAAAACGGATTTGCTCACCAACCTGGAATCTGTATCTTGGATCAGAGCCGAGGATTTACAGCTGCCGCAGCCTCCACCAAAGCAGAAAGGCGTAAGGAGAAAGGGGCGGGGCGAGGGGGGAGGAGATGCTGCTGATTTGTCCAGCGCGGCATTAGGTCCTGCACTCCAGGGCCCCGTCCAGGGTCAAGAGAGCTGTTCCGCTTACCTGATGAGCTGAAAATTCTGAGGCCTTGGAGAACACCTGAAGGCCAGGGGTGGCACTTGTAAATTGTCTTCACTTTAGCTTTCCGACCTCATGTCAGTGTTAATAACACTGAGAATACACCTGTACCCCATATTAAAATACCAATTAAAATGTCTGAATAAAAAATATCTAAAGTTATATGAGTAAGGAAAAATAACCACTGACATTATAATGGCATGTTTTGCAAAAAGATCATTAAAAGTTATCAATTTAAAATTATGAATATAATTTAAAGTTACATTACAGATATAAGCTTATATCTGTGATTTTAATCTATATAACTGAGAGACTGTAAATGTTTGTTCTTAGGTCCTTATGAATACATGCAAAGCTTATAAAGCCCTGGGAACCTTAACTATAGGGTTTCAATAGCACGGCACCTCTGAGAAGAAAAGGAAGGCTAAACTTCCTGACCCAAGAAAATTGACCTGGTCTGGGAAGGTGAGCTGTGGGAGGAGGGCCTGGACCTCCAAGGGTGTCCAGATGAAAGTCAGGACAGAGGGCTGGGTCACCTAACGTAATATTTTCAGGGTTCATCTATGTCGTATCTGTATGAGTACTTGTATGAATAATGTGGCTATGAATTTTCTTGTACAAGTTTTTTTCTAAACATAGGCTTTTTATTTCTCTTGGGTGTATACCTAAGCATAGAATTGCTGGATCTTGTATTTACTTTTCTGAGGATCTTCCAGGCTATTTTCCAAAGTGATTGTGCTGTTTTGCATTCCCACCAGCAGTATAAGAAGGGGTCCAATGTCTCCACATCTTTGCCAATACTTGTTATTATATGTTTTTTTTCTATTATAGTCATCTTACTGGGTGTGAAGTGATAGCTCATCGTTATTTTAATTTGCATTTGCCTAAGGTGTTTGCCTAAGGTGTTTAATTTGCATTTGCTTAATGGTGTTTATCATCTTTTCATACACTTTACTATCTATTTGCATATCTTTTTTGAGAAAGGTCTATTTGGATCCTTTATCCATTTTTTAATTGCGTTATTTGTCTTTTTCTGAGATCTTTCTATATTCTAGATACAAGTCCTTTATGAATTCTGTGATTTTTAAATATCTTCTCCCATTCTAAGGGTTGTCTTTTCATTTTCTTGATTGCATCCTTTGAGGAACAAGTTTTTAATTGTGATGAAATCCAGTCTTTTTGTCACTTCTACTTTTGATGTCATATCTATGAAGGCCTTGCCTGATCCAAAGTCATAAGGATTTACTCCTATATTTTTTTCTAAAAGTTTTATAATTTAGCTCTTACACTTAGATCTAGGATCTATTTTAAGTTCGTTTCTACTGTGTGAGATAGAGGGTCAATTTTATTCTTTTGCATGTGGATATCCTGTTGTCTCAGGACCATATTCTTTTCCCATTGAATTGTCTTGACATTGTCAGGAAACCATCATTAAGGAGTTTTGTGTATGTGTGTGTGTGAGACAGAGAGAGAGAGAGAGAGAGATGGTAGGGGGCAGATGAGGAATGACATGTTTTGAATGTCTAAATGTTAAGTGAGAAAAGGTCACCTGGCAGCCCTGAGCAAGTTGAAGAGGTCTGGAGCTGACAAAAAATGCCTAAATCCAGGACGAGTAAATGGCTAGTTATTGCTTTTAGTATGGAGGAAAAGTTGCTTAACTAGATGCTACTGAGTATAGATAGAAGAGAATAAATTTGTTAATAATTGGTTTTCTCTTCATGAAATTGGTGACAATGTGTAGGTGGGGATTAAGGATAAGTAACTCTAGATGTACACCCAGGTCTCTTACTCTCACATCTCAATGAAGGACATTAAGCGAAAAAGTATGTAAGTTAAGAGATGAAGAATACAAATAAGGAGAGAAATGAGCTGAGCAAACCAACTTTACTCCAATAAAAATTAATAAAATAATATTAAAAAAATAAAAATAAACAGAAAAAAAAAAAGAAATGTGAGCTGATATTCAAGGGAGCACATGAAGAAACTTATTTCTAGGGAATGTTCCTTGAAGGAACAGAGCAAAAAGCCAAGGCAAAAGCTCAAGGGAGCCTTGATATTAGAGAAGACCAGTATCTAGGTCTGGGAAGGAAAAGATTCAAAAGAAGTTTGGTATCTAGCACAAGAATTAGCTCAAAATTCATTTCATCAAAAGGTTTTTTAAACATGAGGATGAATAAATCAAAGAGTTGGTAATCAATTCCATTCAATACAACTTGCATTTCTTTTCTGATTTGTACTTCTCTTAAGAGACCAGCGACTCCAAAATTCCAAGTCAAAAGTTACACTGCGGTTTTTAGAGTATCTTTTTATCTTCAAGTTCTCCTAACAAGTTTTCCTTTATCTTTCTTATTTCCTTCACCCCACCGCACACTTTTGAACCCCTACTTTATTCAAGCCCAATCCACGCTCCCTCACCCCTTAAATGTATCTTCATTTGCTTTTACAGATTTGGTTTTTGCACTTAAAATTCAGCTTATCACAGAGAAGCTTGTGAAAAATGGAACATGGTCTTTACAAAGAAACTCTGAGAAGCTCAATTTACATTTGTTTGCCTAAAATTAACTGGCAGATCAGCTACTGAATAGCTGTTGTTGTGTAATGTATCTGCTCATCTACTTTCCATCAATCAATAGCTATTCCATGACGTTCGATTTTATTCTTTTACAGGCAATGGAAGATGCAGTAATTTGTATTTTGGGTAGATCTGTTGGGTGACCAGGTAGTTGGAGGCTTGGAAGTGCACAATGCTGAAATCAGGGAGATCCATTCAATGACTATTGAAACAGTCCAGATGAAACTATAAAAACTAAGGCAGTAGAGTGAGAATATGAAGGAACTGATGAAACAAGTTGCTAAGACGGAATGATTAGGCTGTGACAGCAGCATATTGGAGAAAGGAAGAAGGAGGAATCTAAGATTGATTTTTTTTCTTTTTTAAATTTTTTTATTAAATATAGCTGATTTACAATGTTGTGTTAGTTTCAGGTGTACAGTAAACCTATTCAACCATATGTATATATATATGTATTATATATAATATATATATTATATATAATACATATATATATTCTTTTTTTATATTCTCTTCCATTATACATTATTACAAGATATTGAGTATAGTTCCCTGTGCTATACAGTAAATTCTTGTTGGTTATCTACTTTATATAGAGTAGTGTGTATATTTTAATCCCAAACTTCTAAGATTGATTTTTGCATTAAGCTATTGGAAAGATGGTGAGGCTCTTCACCAAGGTGGGGAATTATGGAGATAAAGCAATTTGCTGAGGGAAAGAAAAATGCACATTTGTTGTTGTTGTTTTTTAAACCAAGTTAGCACTTTCTGGATATCATTCATATGAGATTAATAAATTCTGGATCCCAAGTAAGCTGTAGCTACTATATTTTACTCTAGATTTGTGAGTCAACACACTATGCGAGGGTTAAAGCCACGGGATTCAATTATAGCCCTAAGGAGTATATATGGAATGATAGGAAACAAGAGGCTGGAGAATAACACTCTGAACTCTTTAAGGCCAGGGATCATTTCTGTATTCATATGTGTATATCTAGAGTGTAGAACAATACACAGAATGTACTAATTATTTAGAGTTGGCTTGTGGAAGGAAGAAAGTACATGACTTCCTTTTCAGGGATCAGATCACCAAAAGAAAGTAATATAGACTCCTCTTTATCTCCAGCAAGTCTCTCTGGCTGTAGACCCTGGAGTTCTTATTTTTGTATCTTCTCATGACCCCCAGTTGGTTCACTAGAATAATCTGCCTGGACCCTGATCTTGTTTTTATGACAGCAATACTAAGCCTTTCTAAAAGGGGGCAGTGTTTTATGACTTCTGGACTGAAACTGTTTTTCTTTTCTCCCACAGGAGGGGAAAAGTGTCCCAGCAAAGAATATATGGATGGGGGTGGGGTGGGGAGTGTCAGTCACTTTGTCTTGTGAACTGTGGTATGAGCCCTTATGGGAATCATAGTGTAGGGAAGATGGGATATTGAGCAGTTAGCAGATATGGGTCACTGATCTGGGTATTAAGGATTCGTGATCAGCAGGAATGGGCAAGTGTCTATGGTAAGAGAGTTTGGCAAGTTCTCAAAGTCAGTGGGGGATGTGGAGTAAAAAGAGTCTCAGGATTGGTGATTCTCTTCCTGTGTCCTCACATTACTTTAATTACTGAAAACTTGGTTATTGTGCTACAGAAATTGCAGTCTGAGCCATATTCTGCTTGTCGATCTCATCACTGGGAGTGTTTTGACTCACATGCCTCTTCAAATTCTGAATCAATTCTGGGAGTTGTAGCATTATGACCCATGCTTTCCATCACTGTAGAAGGAAGAACTCAAGTCTTGCCCTCAGGCCATGTAATACCCATACCCTAGATCATGGAATTTCTAGAGTTTTTCCATACTTAGTCACTCAAAAGCCTCTCCTGTGGGGTTAATGTCAGGTTAGATTGTCCTTCTCTGACTTCTTTTAGCTCTTTCTATACTCACCTTCATGTCCTCTGTGAAGCCTTGGCTTTAGTTGAGGAGGCAAAGAGTCTGTTCCTTTGAACTGTAGGAAAGATTCAAGACAAATTGAACTCTAGGTACTGAGAGTTGTACTGCACTTCAGCAAGATGTTCTGCACTTATTATATCCAAAGTCTTTAAGAAGTAAAACTAGGACAGACTGGCATCTGATATAATAGTGTGTTATTATAATATATCAATTATCTCCTGAGTCAGACCTACAAGATAGTGGAGAAAGGGGTATCTCTTTTTAGGTAGGAAAGAGGCTGGGATCAGGAGCTACCTTCATTCTTAGGCAGTCAACCACATTCTCTCTTGTAGTCCCCCAATATCTCCAGTATAAACCAGG